CCACAGATTGCGAGTCGAGCGTCCTAACCACCTGGCCATGCCAGGCTGGTAGGAGAGCTTCATCATATAGATAAGGACAAACCCCTGACCACTCCAAGTCTGTCAGACAAGATTGGTCAAGAACTGTGTTAGCTATACATACAAAGCTAAGAAGAATCAAGATATATAATAATGGCACAGTTCAGTTTTGATATATTTGTACAGCTCTTTCAATAACTATAGTTTTTATGTAAAAAAAAATCTCATGTTGTGATATCTTAACATAACAGTAACTTTGTTCAACTTCAGCATCATCATGATTTTATTCGTTTTTCCCGAGTTCAAACAAACCCTGGCCTGAATGTTTTGAAATGGTAAACGTTTTTTTTTTTAACTGTTTCTGTTTTAGAATGCGCCAAATGAACTTTACTGTAAACGTCCTCATTGGTATCGTGTAGAAATATGGAAGTTCTTAAAAACTTGCATTGTGACAATACTTTTAGTTCTCTTTCAATCGTGTGTATTGTTTCTAACACTTCTTTTTTTCAGTGTTTTGTACTTTGTCTGTTAAGTTAAACGTGCATAAATAATAGAGAACATGTATTTCTTTCAGAAAATTAGTCTCCCACTGGCTCAGCGGTAAGTCTGAAGGCTTACAACGCTAAAACCCGAGTTTCGATACCCGTGATGGGCACATCACAGATTGTCTATTGTGTAGCTATGCACTTAACAGCAAACAAAAGCCACATTTGTATATTTTTTCTCGTCAATTGTTTAAAAGGCTTTCAGCTTGCGAGTGTTTTAGCCGTTTGAGATTAAACATTGTTTGAGAAAGTTCATAGTGAAAGATCTTTAAGCGCTGCCAAAACCACAGCGTTCCAAGAAGCTGCCATACAAGTCGCTTTTGTGTGAGTGTGTATGTACACACAGGGCCGCTTTGTGATATGCAGTAAAAAACAAAACGTGTTTTACTTGATTAGAATATCACCTTCATCAACAATCATTGTTTTGACCAGATAGAAAAAACCAAAAACATTAGCTAACCAGTTCAATTTCAGCATAGTTATATTTAATACTAGCCGTCCTTACCTGGGTATTACCTAAACATAGGTCCGATGTTTAGCTATTTTTAAACAGAATGGATCAAAATTTCGCTTTTCATGTAACGATACATGTAAAATAGTCATACTTAAGTGAGATAAGTGGCTTAAGAGGGTAAAAATTAAAGAAAATATATGAAATGTGTTATATAGTTCACAAACACACCCTTAACAGTCATTGCAATGCCTCTGGATAAGCGACATTTTTAGGTTATTGTGGAGTTTCACTGGTACTTTTGTGGCACACGTTTTGCTGTTTGTGTTTGGTAATCAGAATTGTTTTTCTTTCTCGACATGTTACTCTGAGGTACATAATCAGCATAAGAAATGTTTATCATACCTAACTTCCCTCTACCCTCACAAATGAAAGTGAATATAAACCAATTTAATTTTGCAAAATTTCGCAGGTTCAACTTGTCTATTCTGTAAAAAAAAAGTTAGTCTTGTTTGTCCGTAGACCGATAGCGTTTGACGAATCTTTATTCTCACACCACAAAGACAGTACACATCTTTGTAAAATACACATACATTTTTCTGATGTTATTTTCACTTAAACCAGACCAAAAATTCGGTTCGTCTTTTGTGGTTTTCCAGTGAGACGGTGGTAAGTCTACAGAATTACAACGCTACAATCAGGGGTTTGATTCCCCTCGGTGAACACAGCAGATAGCTTGATGTGGCTTTGCTAAAGAAAAACACACACCCGTCTTCTGTGGAAAAAATTAATTGACACTAAAAATTTGATGTCACAAATATTAAACCTGAGTACGCTTATTCCATATCTTTATAGGCCTACTATTATAGGGGCTGCTTGTAAGTCCGCAGACATATCGCATACTACTGGGGGGCAACAAACAGACTGATAAACACGTAGTTAGGCAGGTAGGTAGAAAGACAGATAGACAAATAGTATGTCAGAAATTACTTCCAAACAAATTTTTCTTATACTTTTCATACCTTTTTCCATATGAAAAGATAGTAATCTCGATTCAACAGGTTTCGCACCAAGTAGACGCAAACCATCAGGCCAGGGCTGACCGTATGTATTTACAATTGTTTGATCAAGTAAGTAGTTTTAGTCACGAAGTGTGGTTTTGGTTCTGAAAGTTCAAAAGAGCAGACTTTAAAAAACAATGCACCCAGAGTCTGTCTTTGCTTATGCATATAATTTTAGTGCCGTTACTAAATAACGTTCCAGCACATTTGAATAATACACAAGACCAGCTATCCGGAATGAAGGATGTGCCTCACTTAGTGACCAATACAACAATACTCTTTACATTGGACGCCTATAAACACAGAAGATGGCGTCAACGTAGTGTGTAAATTTATGTCGAATCAAATAAACAATTTTGAGATGTGCGGACTGACAGTAGACACTGTCAGAGAAATCTTAAATTTCATTCTTCACAATGGAAATTTTCGTTTTGACAACAAATTATATCTTCAACTAAGTGATGTCGCAATGGGTAATAAAGTCGCTATTATTTATATCGTAATATTTATGCACGTTTTCGAAACAACGGGACTTGACAACTG